TTGACTTTTCTGAAAACTAAAACTCTGGGTGGAAATGAAAAACAAAAAAAGAAAACATGAAATACATTTTTCAGAAATCATCCTACTATTCAGAAACACGTGCCCCGGCAGGTTCTTGCCAAAGGATCCGGTTTAAGCCTTCGAGTTTGTTGTTGTGCGTTAAAACGCTGGTTTTAAATCTAAGCCAAACTGTGTTTTTCTTTCCTTCCTCTGTCAACAATCCTTTGCTTCTTTCTTTTACGTGCGTGTGAGACCCATAACTTTCAAGCCAAGACAGCTGTGCACATCCCAATGTGACGCAGGCTGACTAGCTGCAGAACTATTACCTACAGTTTTAGAAGACATAAAACCTCTGACGACACTGAGTCTCCCTAAGAGCAAACATATTGCAGGATCCTGGCCACAGACAGGATTAGAATAGACTGTGAATGAGTTTCTGTCTTTGGTGGTAATGGCTTGGCCCACGTGTTGCACATCTGTCTCAGTCGCAAAACGGAGCTGTTGCTCCAACAAACCCCGGCCGACATGTTGCACGGCATAGCGTATCCTTTGTTTTGGAATGTGTAAAAGGTTCATTTTTCCAGGCATCGTAAGTATTTCTCATATTCAGAACAAGTTCCCAGTATGAGGTGGTTCATCATTAAGGTCTTCTTTCTGTGTAATGTTATGCCTGTTCATGCTTCTTCAGTTCTTGTTGGTTTGGGATAATCTGTTTCTTCATTATCAAGGTTACAGTTCGTGGGCATTAGGTATCATAGTCACTCGAGATTAGCTAAAATACATGAATGCTTGGGACCAAGCTATACATGTTTATAAATGGCTATTCCATAACTTCAGACACCTTACATACCTCAGTATGCATCACTACGCACGATGGCAAGCATCTACAGACTTCCTTCTTTCTATTTTTGTAGGTACAGCCAGTAGTCGGCGTCAACTAAAATAAGCTTTGTTCTCAGGTATTTCACCATCCCAAGCTGTATTTTCTTTCAAATATCCTCTATGAAAAAATCTGCGATAACAGGCGGATTTTCCACCAATATTTTGTAGTTACAGAAAATGGGTAAATATTGTAAAAAGTTCACTTTCACTACATACAAATGTTTTGTTTTGTTTGTTTTTTTGTGCTCTTTGAAAACTACCAACGTTTCTTTTTTTTTTTTTTTCTTTTTTTTTGCCAAAGTCATCGTATTGTTACTTTTGGTGAGGTTGCCAGAAAATGTGTCCCTTCGCTCTATAGAGCAGAGCAGTGCTGCCACTGTCAGCTGGCTGAAAGTATAAGGTTGCGTCATTTTGCTGATGCTCGCAGATGCATTCTGCTGTTTGGAAACGTTGGAAGCTGAAGGAGCGTCGCCCACAAGCAACGTGAAGGACAGTTTTGCTTACAGAGACTTCATACTTTATTTAGTTGTTGTTTATGTTGTTTTTGTTTATTTAATTTGGATATTTAAAATGTCCTCCAGCACCAGTGGAAGATATTCACTAGAATTGAAAGTTTATTGAGTTTTAAGAATGTGTTCTTGCATTATTATTATGCCATTACCATTATATTACTGGAATATGGTTCCAAAACACACATGTTTTTGTTTATCGCAATAACTTATGGGACAATTTAGCATTCATCAAAATTTGTTATTGTGGCAGGCCTATTTTAGAATCAAAATAGCAAAGAATGAATGTTTTTTTTTTGATGACATTATTATAACTGTAAGAATCAGTCACATTTTTTTTAGCTCAAATAGAAATGATTGATCCCTCTCTGGTTTTAAATGGTTCTATAATACATAGTTTTTTTTCTGTAAATATTGTGTTTTCACTAAAGGCTATCATCGAGCGTAAACCTTCTACTGGCCCATACGTGTTGTAGATATAATGCAGTCTTACTTTCATCTTTTATATGTGCTAGTTTTTGAAATAATCTGTGTGTTTTTGGTTCGCTCAGGGTGAAGGTGTGACATCGTCAGGTCGTGTTTTTTAATCGGTCCCAGTTTTGTAGCTTGGAGGGGAAAAAGGCAAAAACGCCCCAAGCGGTTTCCTTTGTTTGTTTTTATTTCTCTTTTGTGTACGGCGCATTTATATCGAGCTCTACAAGAACGGACTCGTTGTGCACAGAATGGCCTTTCTTCCTGTTTCTGTTCTGCTCTGTGTGTTTTCACTGGCTGTCGTCACTTCCCTGTTTTGTCGGTCCACTGGCCAGCTCTCCATGTTCTCCTCACTGTGCTGCCTTTTACTTTGGTCTATAAAGCGTACCGCTTGTCTAAGAAACCGTGTCGCAGTCTGTCTTGTTGAGTAAGCTTAGCTGTTCGCTACATATGTGGTTATAGTTAGACTTCTAAAGTGGTTTTAATAGTTTTATTACTGCAACAGGAAGTGTGTCTCAGTGGATCTGCTTGATGGGCCAAAACACCAGACTGTTGAGCTGAAACCCACAACTGCATGCTTTTCGTTTCAACCGCTGTTTGCTCTGCAAATATACCGTAGTTCTGTTTGATATAGCACCAGGCCTTTTGACAGAAACTTTCTCTTGAACTTTCACCTTTGCCTGCGCGTAAAAGCCACTTTAATGTCGCAGGAAATCTGCTGACGGCAGATCCGGCACAGGTATTAGGAAATATCCATGGTGTCACTTTTGTTTTAACGTTAAGGGTCAGTGTGTTCTCTTACTACTGATCTGAAAGCAAATGCAGATGTGTTATTATGGGTCTTTCTTTCTTTATGGGACACAGTGGAAATTCAGGCACTGATTTGGTGATGGATGTTCTAAATTTAACCAAAACAAACAAAATGAGGATATTTGCTTGTTGTTGTTTTTTTATGAGAAAACACAGGGTGGCTTTTCATGAAAGTGTCCGATAAATGTTGCCCTGTAAAAGTTCAGAGCAGTTGCTAAAGCAGAATTAGATTTCATGACGATAGCTATTCTGCACACCAGTTGAGTTTTTCCTATAAATCCATAATTAAGTCACAGTAGTATTTATTTCACAAAAAAAAATGTTTTCACTTTATTGCCATTTGTTTTGTTTTTTCTCCTGACCGTATCAGACGTGCTGGCCTCATCACGCTGATAGAAGAGACTAATATAAATCTGATTATTTGATGGCATAATTATTGTTCAATGGAGGGATCTTCTTCACTGACACATTTGTAGATTTAATAACTTGCAGGCTTGAAAACTATAAATTCATCACACTTATAATGTACAGGTTAATTACGATACATTAGAATATCATCGAAACTGTCATTTATTTGAGGAATTGAAAAAGTGAAACCCAAATATAGACTCATTTGCATAGAGAATTATATTTTTCAACTAGTTATTTGTCTTGTTTGTGGCTTCTAGCCAATGGAAAACCAAAATGTACCTTTTTTCGAAAAGTAGTTTGTTGTTTTCTATTGGATCAAAAGAAAAACATTTTTAGTGTAGAAGTGCTGATTGGTGTAATGGACAAATTGTGCCTTGCAAAGTCATGGGGTGTCGTGCCGACTTAGCAGTTTTCCAACAGACACTCACCGACGCTCTCCTTAAAGAGGAGAAGCCACAAAAGATCATTGATAGCTTTTTTTTCCCCTTTTTTTTAAGCTGAATTCAAACTTTCAATTGAAAATTTAACGGAAGGAAAAAATGTGATAGAAACAGGTGCATTGAAGAGTTTGTTGAACATTTACAAGGCGTAGACTGCAGCATTAAGAGTCAGCGCAGACATGCATGTCTAAACAGCGTTGTCTGCATGCAGAAGCTGTATGGAAAATAGGTTGTGGTGCAATAATTTGGATGTTTGTTTTTTTTTTTTAGATAACTTTGTGATGAAAAAAAAAGTAATTGCACAAACCTATATAAAATATTGCTCATTTAACAGGTGGCTCAATATTTATTGACCTGATAGGACGGCGGGTAATTGTTTGGGTTCGGGGAAACCACTGTCCACAAACTTCTAAAATCCAAGAACATTTGATGCCGCTTCTAAAAATGCTTATAACTGAGTCCGATATGCATTAATATGCATAGTGGAAACAGTCTTGGCACAAATGTAGAAGCTAACATCTGCAGGCTTTGTTATCTGCGCTCTTGATGGTGCAGCCAATCAGAGCCAAGAAAAATGATGGCGCTTCTGGATTGGCTGCATTGCAAATGGCAGCCAATAGCATGTCAAGTAGAATTACAATGATGTATTTTAGCTTCCCAACGTGCTTTTTCTTCAGAATATTTTAGATATGAAAAAATAAAATAAAATCGGCAAGTAGGTGATTTTTAAACAAATAATTTTGGATTTATGTTGTGTTATGTATGGTCCACTTTTTATTTATTTATTTTACCTATCTTGCATTCAGAGATAATTTCTCAGGCACTATTAACATAGTTAACAAACAATAGATACATAAAAACACACTTGGAAAAAATGAAAGAAAGTAAACTAAAAATAATTGGAAATAGAAAAATAAGCATGAACACATAATGATGCATAGTAAACGGATGAATACAAGTAAAACACATCTATTGATAAAACGTAAAATAAGGGCAAAGTGCAGTGCAATGCAGTCATATGGCAAATAAGCTGCAAAATTCAACTAATATCCAGTCTGCATTAAAAAAAAGCTTCTCATTTAAGCACCAAACATTTTTTAAAATCTATAATTCATAAGCCCCTCACTCTTTAAAGCAGCGGTGCAACGGGACACCGTTGCCCAGTGAACGGATACGACAAACAGACTCTCACATCTCAGGTGGCCTTAGACCAATACGCTGCTGTCTGTCTTAGCTTAAAAGTCTCAAACATGGCTAAGGTGAGCATGATCGACCAGAAGGTTCTGCAGTCGCAGCTGGAGTCGATCCAGACAGTGAGGAAGCTGATGGTAGAAAACCTGTTCATGGTAATGTCTGATCTGTGAACTGGTTTGGAACTGTTTGTTCCACTTTATTATTATTATTATATATATATTTTTTTTCATTTTCACAGCTTGATTTATCTATTTGTGTGTGTGTGTGTGTGTTTGAAATGCAGGGAGAAAAGAACAATGGCTTTGATGTGCTGTACCACAACATGAAGCACGGGCAGATTTCCTCCAAGGAGCTGACGGACTTCATCAGAGAAAGGTGAGTCTGAGGAGGCGGCGATGCGAGTGCGCCGACACCAGCGGGCCGTACTGCGCGCACCATGTCTGTCTTGTTTATGCGGGTTTAAATCTGGGACAGCCTTACCAGCATTTCCTGTCCTTCGTGTTGCTCCTCTAACAGCAGTCAGTTCTCGGCTGAAAGCGTTAATAGTTTCATTAAGTTTGCACATCTGCACGCGGTGTGGATATGATGCAGACTTCGCCGCCGTGGGAGCCCACCTCCGACCTGGCACCGGCAGTCTCTGCATTCCCACAACAGCGTAATGACAGGTTGTCTTTAAAACCCGGATTCTCTCTGCCGTGTGAAAGGTGTGCGCTCAGAGAGTGTCACATGACACCAGGTCTACCGCTGGAATCCGACAGGAAATTCTTCCGTCTGTCGGTTGCAGACGAGTGAGTCATCCCGACTCTTTATTGGACCCTGGGGAATGTCATGTGCCTCACCGAGATGTCTGATCAAGTATTGACACGAAATGACAGGATTCCTGTTAGGGCTGCAAGTTCTGATTACTTGTTGATTAATATATTGATTATTGCGATGATTAATGGGATAAAAAAAATTGGCACATTCTGCGGATTTGTCATTTCAGCCTTTTTTTAATAGAATATTATAAATACATTAAGAGATGCAAATAATTCGATCTCTTCTAGGGATGCACCAATTCACTTTTTTCACTTCTGATACCGATATGAATATCTGAGCTTTAGTACAGATACAGAAAAACAGTGCTGAATGGACTTTAAATGTTTCTTTTTTTTTTAAAATACAGACATAAATTTACAGAATTACAAATGTATTTGATAATTCTGCACTGGTCCAGCACACTTAGATACGCCAGTAACTTCGCAAAACTTAGTCAAACATGTAAAAACTTTGATTCGTTCAATCAGTGCAATTAGGAGAAATAAACGAAAATGACAACAGCAAACTGCAGCAAACTTTCATTCAAGAAAGTACAATTAGGAATTTACAAAGAAACAACAAAGCAGAGCACAAAGCATAGAGTTAGACTTAATAGATCTCCCCTTAAGGATTGGTCACATTGTAACTGATCTACAATCTAGAATTTGTTTCAAGAGTTGGACCGATACAGATCATTTGTAGCAAAGGACGCATCTGCATTCTGCAGTGTTTAGTTTTTATGAATGAAACGATAAAACTAAATGAAAACAGGGTTTGCAAATTCCACTTTAGCTACTTCATTTAGTGTCTTATTCTTCCAATCTGTGAGCAAATACAAGAAATTGATTTTTTTTTTTTTAATAGCTGCTCTGAGTTTACTCACAGTGCCAAGAAAAGGAGCTTCAAGCCACACTCTTCAATCCAGATTGGTTTTTTTGTCTCTGGAGTTTTGGTACTTGTACTGTTTTAGAATTTCACGGTGAGTATTTTGTACTAGAATGTCAAGGATGCCATAAAAACTGCATGTAAAATAAATAAATAATACATAAAAAAAATCTAGAACTGTAAGCCTGGAAAAGTTTGAAATTGTTCTGTTTTTTTCTTACGTTACATTTGTAGAAAGTTCGTACAGAATTTAGCCTTCTTTCAATCACATTGTGGACTTGCTTGTCAGTCAGTAGCTTAGGTCATCTTTACACCTTCAAAACGGCACTACTGCTCCCTCTAGCGGTGATAAAGGTCAGCGCACCACACCAGTACCCCCAGCATCTTTCGGTCTTTTATTGCGATTCCTCTTACGCTGAAGAACCTGAAAAGATCGAACTGAACTGGTCATTTATTGGAGGCCTTCATTCACATCTGTTCTAGTCTTGGAGATGAAAGGACTGCTTTCTATAGTGAGGCGACTTCGTCATGATTTACCAGGAGCCTCCAGTTGAATAAGAGAGACGATTTGTTATTCAAATCCTATTGCAGTATTTACATGTTGGCTTTTTTAATGACCTTTAGATGTTTGTTAAATAAGGTGACTTCAAGGTTCCTCCATATTTACTGGTTTCCTTAGTAAAAATGTGTAAGAAGCCATAAAATGAATCTTCTACCATCAGTGTGTGTAATATTCATACGGCAATGGACTATTTGGAGTCCAGTAATTGTTGGCTAATATAGTCCAGGTGTTATGAACCTGAATTTTAAATAGACATCACAATATTTACTAGAAATTGGCGATTTTGGCTTGAAAAATCAAGTCTAGATTGGATTTCCAATTTTAATGTTTTTTTTGTTGTTGTTTTTTTTAAATATACTTACAAATGACAGAAAATGTAAAATAAATAAATCCTCTCTTCAATTAATTGTATGGCCGGGTACGAGGCCTGGTTTAATTACAAGAGTATAGTTTTATCAGAAGAATGTGTTAAAATTACTAGGAAAAAGTCATTTTAATGAGAAAAAGGCTTGAATTATTAATGTTTTGTTATTGTTTGTGTTGGGACTGTTCAAACAATTCTGATTCAATTCTCCTAATTTTATGACTTTATTCTGGTAATATCCAGACTTTATTCTCACAGTGTTTAAATTGTGTAACATTATTACTGCATTATTGCAAAAAAAATAAATAAAATAAAAAACAAAACAAATCTTAACCTGACCCTTATATTTTGTCGTAGAGTTGACCTGAATTCAAAGTCCAGGTAAACAGAAGCTGTAAAACGACAGTTGTCAAACAAGATGGCGGCCTGGTGCGTACTGACATCACTCTGAACTATGGAAATACAAGGAATGCATTGGTGGAAAAAGAAAAAGAAATAAAAAAAAAAACAGATTTTCCAAAAAGGAAATCTTCAAAAACCAAAAATTTGACTAATCTTTAAAATGTATAAATCCCCCAGCTGCCCTAATATTATCGCCATGCTGCCTTCTGGCATCAAGTCAGTTTTGAGTAATTCGTGTAGAATATTTTAAAATACATTAGACAAGTTTGCACTTTATCCTTCATCCTTTTTTTGTTATTTTTTTTTATAAATAGTCTGTTAGTTTTGTTCTAATCCCATTCCAACGCGTCGAGACGTGTGTCCGTAACGTGACGACACACAGCACTGTATCTCTCTGTCTCGCTGCATCTTCTGCAAAGGCTTTTGTCGTTGCTTGAATGCTGCGTACTTGCCGAGTGAGTTCACGCTCGGTTCACCCGTTTCCCCCTGAACGACCTTGACTGCCGAGACAAGATGGCTGGACGAGATGTATAATTCAGACTTTTTCTGCGATGCTGCAGCGGTTTATATATTTTTTTCCCCTCTCTCTTCCTGTCGCATTGTTGTAAAGGAAGTAAAAGGAGCTGTGTGAGGGGCGGGGCAAAATAAAGAATAAATAAATTAACTAAATGAATGCATCTAAAAAGTAAAAGGAAGAATACTTTTTTTTTTAAACAGCAAAATTGAATTTATGTGCTTGAAAATATAATTTGTTCAAACATTCATTTGCAAAAATGCAAATGAATGTCAATTAAATTATGAAACGTATAGCAAAATTCTCTCTTTTTGTAAATGAATTGAAAAATGTTATTTGTCAATGTCAAGTTTACTTAAATAGCACTTTAAAAACAGGTTTAAAACGGCACCAAAGTGCTGCACAAAAACAATAAAATAAGTTGAAAAGAAAAAAAAAATACAAAAATATATATATATTTACGTATAATGCTAAAATAATAAGAGTGATAAGTAAACAACAAAACAAAAAAAACATCACAACTGTATTGATTTTTATTGTGCCATTTATGTATTTTTAATTATGTCAGTTTTGGTCCTTTTGTTGAGTCACAAAGTAAAATAAATTAGAGGTACTGCATGTAGATTTATATTCATCTTCAACAAAAAGTTTAGAGACAATATTTGTACTCAGTCAAAACCTGAACTTTAGTCACATTTCAGTTAAATTAATTAATTGTTAACCGTACTTACTCATGTAATGGATAATAATATATAATACTCTGTATTTTAGTCATTATATCACGTCTCTTCTCTCTGCAGGAGTGTCATTGAAGAGGCCTACGCCAGGTCCATGACCAAACTCGCCAAGTCAGCTGGTAACTTCTCTCAGCTGGGGTGAGTTTATGCGTTCCCTTAAAATAATAATAAAAAACAAAAAACGTTAATAACAAGAATCTTTCTCAATCCGTTCGACAGGACCTTTGCACCAATGTGGGATATCTTCAAAAGCTCAACGGAGAAACTGGCCACCTGTCACATGGAGCTAGTGAAGAAGCTGCAAGACCTTATAAAAGAAGTGCAGAGATATGTGGAAGAACAGGCCAAAGCTCATAAGAAGGTAAAGACACATAAGATTTGAGTTAATTGTTTCCTTTTTATGATGGCATCGTGCGGTTTTCATGTGCTACGGTAGATATAGAGTTTTGAATTAAGTTGTTTTAGCTGCAGAAAATCCTTTTCTCTATGAGGAACGGCTTAATTTTGTTTCTATGGTTACCTATTTATCCCTAAAGCGCTCATTTAGTTTTCTGTTTTGTAGCTCCTATCTTAGAGAGGGACCTAAACTTGCAGTTTGTCTAAATGTGTGTATTTAAACAAACCCTCCCCTTGGCAGAAAACGTTCTGTTCTTATATTTCAGCACTATTTTGTCTTCGTTCTATTCTGGAAGACGTAAACTAGAGCGCTTCCTTGATTAAAACGGGGCGATTTTGTGGCACCTTGATGTTTTTATTCACATGGATTTCTCTTGCTCCTGTCATTTTCTGCTCCAACTTGAGGTTTTTAAAGCTTTTGTGTGGAAACACACTGCAGCCCCCTGCCGGAGAATCCGGTGACGCCTTCTTCCTCCAAACGCTTGTGTAGTTTTATGGCTTTTTATTTTGCACCGCCATTCTGCGTATAAAGTAAAACCGTTCAGATACAAAGTTGTATACGTTTCACAGCGAGTCTGTAGGTTTAATTACTTCCTCCTCTGCCTGGCTAAGGGTCTGCTTCACATGTGTGAGAATTAACAGAGGAGCTGGGAGAGGATTTTATAGGATTCCTACTTCCTAATCTGGAACTTGATTATCCATGGCAACATCCATTCATCTGTCCGTCTCCTTTTTTTTTTTTTTAGCTATTTATGCTTTAAAATTGGTCCTGTCAGTCGATTAAAAAATGTAATCCGATTAATCACTATGCTTAACTTTGTAAGCTTGAAATATAAATATGCAGGCATTTGTGCAAGGCCTACAACCAATTGAAATGCAGGCAATTATTTATTTTATTTTATTTTTATTTATTTTTAGCAGAAAGCAGATGTAGTCTCTCAGTACTAAACTGCAAATAAGGTAAACGTACTCCATTAGACATGCATACTAGTAGTAACAAATTTGTTCTGGGGACAATTGACAGATAAGATGCATTTAATTTTTTAGATCCTGGGTGACCCACTCCCTTCTAATGCCGCCCTGGGCAAATGCCCATATGTCCCATAGCAAAAACCATCACTGTATGCACTTTTGCTAAAAAAAAATTATTGTCTTAAACCAAACATGTCTGAAGATTCTCAGTTTTCCAAGTTTTCATATTCAGGATAGACTTTTAGGTCAAAATAGTAGTTTGATTAATCTGCGTTATGTAACGCTAACAAGTTAAAATGTTCAGATTAATTGTGTGCGTTAACACTGACCTGCCCAGTTTGAATTAACCTAAAAGTCTCAGCTGTAACTCTGAAAGTCTGGAATTTCCACATGCAAATTGCGCAGTAACCCTGATTTGGGGTGAAGTCATTTTCCTGCAGAGGAACGGCCGTTTAGGGCAAGTGTTTCCTTTTAATTGACATAAATAAGGACCAGAGCAATCTGTGACTCTTGCAAACGTCGTTTGTCTTGTTGAGCGACCTAACGAGCACGCGCGGCCTTTCAGACAAAAGAAGAAGTGGCGCCAACCCTGGAGGCCGTCCAGAGCATCCAGTCCATCTCTCAGTCTCTTCAGAAGTCCAAGGAGAACTACAATGCCAAAACCGTGGAGCAGGAGCGGCTCCGCAAAGAGGGGGCCACCCAGCGAGACGTGGACAAGGTGGGAGGTCACCCTTTTTTTTGCACATACACCGGTACGCTAATGTAGCATGATGAAGTGTGTCCTGGTTTACGGAAACACAAAACCTGAGCGAATCCTTTCCTCAGATGTTGAACTCGATCTCTGGTTTCACTCCGATACGTTTAACCTGATCCGGAAAGCAAACCAGCGTAAGTCATCGATCTGTTTGTTTTCACTTTCCAGGCTGGAGTGAAAGCCAAAAAAGCCATAGAGACCTACAAGTCATATGTGGAGAAGTACGCTTCAGCCAAGTCCGACTTTGAACAGAAGATGGCAGAAACTTCACAGGTTTTTATGAATCTTAGCTGGTTTCTGTCTCCCGCCGCCCCTCTCTGTGTGCATGTACTCTGAAGACAAATGTGTTCTCAAACTCTGCTTTTCGTCCATCTTTGTGGCATGCAAACGCTTTGTTGCGTAATCTGTTAGTCCGGCGCTCGTCTGTTCCATGTTTCGGGTCCTGTATCGTCTCCAGATTGTGTTTTTTCCTCTGTAACCGGATCGTTGTGCAAAGACCCTGATTGGATCCATCCGAGCGACTGATTAGATAAACTCCAAATTAAAATCAGCTCAGCAGAATCGGGCCTCCATATCCTGGTGGACCGCAGCGGCACTGCCACTAGAGCTGGTTCGAGTTAGCCCCGCCGTTCTTCTCCCCTCGCTGTTGCGGAGGAAGCGGCGTTGCGGCTCGCGCTTCCGCTGGATCGCCGTCTACGGCTCGTCTCCCACGCTTCACATGTGGAGACATAATTATAAACACTGTGAACACATGTGCGCTCTGACATCACCGGGGCTCCTGCGTGTGTGTTCTGCTCGTCTGCGTGTTCTTGCTGGCAGACACACAGCAAGAACACGCGGTGAGTAAGATTGCAAGTACAGCAAAAGTATTTATACCCCTTTGAACCTTTTTCCCCCCACTTTGTTCATGTTACAACCACCAATTTCTGTATATTTTGTATGTGATAGAGCAGTCATTTTAGTAATCGATTAATCGATATTCAGATGATTAATCGATTAATTAGATAAGAAAATTGCACAAATTTTCATTTAGCCACTTAAGACTTTTATACAATATTAGAAATACATTAAAATATACAAATAAACAAATAATAAAAATTATTTGATAAGTAAGAAAAATAAACATTTTATTACCTAAAATGCAATACCATATCGTTCCTTTAGTAAACTTGAACTGGTTTGAAGATAAATCTACACCACTTACAGACAAAAGGATTTTTTTTATTTTAAATGCAAAATGTATATAGTTCTTGTACAGTTTTGGTTTAATTGCTGCTCTAAATATGTTGTTTTATTCACCAAACTGCTTTTTTTTAAACTCTGTATTCAAATTCAAATTCAGAAAAACTTTATTGATCGCGAAGGGAAATTAAAAATTGATGTAACTCATTAATTCAAAGTCAAAGTATGTTCCTTTCTGCAATTAATCAGTTATTAATTGTTTAACAATTATTTCAATAATCGATTAATCACAATTAATCAAATTAATTGTTTCAGTCCTAGTGACAGAATAAAAAAAATTCTATCCATCTCTTCAATTGATCATATTGGACAAGGATTATGTCACCACCTCCGTCTATTTCTAATCATAAGGGCAGGCAGAGGCTTAAAGAGAGGCGGCAAAAGCAAATGAGGTGGATAAGCAGCGCTTGCCAACGACAGATGGTGTTGTCCAAGGTGTGTTGCTGTGCAACATCATCTCTGCTGTCCAAATATTGAGCTGTTATCATGTCGTAGTTGTGCCCAACAGCCTTCAGTCAGAAGGCTGCGTGACTGACTGCTACTGGAGCTCCTTCCTGCTCACAGCATCACCATCCATAACGACTCTCTGAAGATAATTAGATGATATGAGTTGGGACAGCATTTAATTTCCCCTCTGAGATAAATAAAGCCTTTTTGAAATGAGTTTGAATTGACTTGAATAATTTTGCTCAGAAAAGGACACAAAGTTTTGAAAACAGCTTCTAAAAAATCTTTGTGTTCAGCCTTCTGTGCTCTAATCTGTGGCAGCACTGACTGACCTTGAAACTACATTTCAAAGAACGGTCAAAGGTTTTAGTCTTTAAATGTGCAAAGAGACTCGTATACCATGGTTCTCTTAGCCTACAACTGAAGTCGGCTTTACGATAATACCCTGATTTGTTTCGGTCCGTAACTACAGATTACGTTGAGGATAAACATCACATGTCACATGACGAAATGTAAAAAAAAATCTCAGGGTGTATGAATACTTCTGCGTGGCGCTGTGGCTGCACACCCTCGTACTTCACATGGGAGGCTCTGTATCTGGGTTCTTTTTGTGATTATTAAGAGCTAATCTCCCCACTAATGCCTGGATTTTTCTCTTCATGACTGCTTGAGCTCAGGCGTCTCAGTTTACGTCCAGAACCCAGATCTGAGCGAGAGCGTTCGAGCCCTGTGATCTCTGCGCGAGCACTGCAATAAAAAAAAAAAAAAAAAAAAAAAAAAAAAAAAAAAAAAAAAAACACGCCAGAAATTCATCCTCGCCAGCGCCTGACATGATCACAATCGACATCTCGTGAAAGGACTTATGTTGTGCGCGCGCCTCGGACCACCCAGACACTCACACATATGAGGTCACAGCGCGAAGATTTCCCTTCGAGTCAAAGTCACGCTCTTGTTTCTTTTGCTTTCCCATCCTCTCGATGGCGTGACGTCAGGTTGTTTGGCACGCGGTCACTTTGTTGTCGCCTGACGATAGATATCGTCTGCGTCTGTTTCAGAGATTCCAGGACATCGAGGAAAACCACATTCTCCACATGAAGGAGATCATCCGCTCGTACTTGCAGTCTGTGGAGGAAACGCACGTTCAGATCGGAGAGGTGAGTGTGTGTCTCTGACGTCGCCAGTGTGTTGATCCGGAGCGCTGCTCGCCGAGCGATCCTCCGTCATCTGTCACCTGGTTCAGTAATTGAGCTGAAAACCAGGAAATTATCCATTTGATCAAGGCTGATCAAGTCTTCACTTTCTGACTGTTAAAGTCTTGTAGGTTCAGCTGGAAAGGTTTTCAAACATCACTCACAGAGCGCCATTAATCAGTATTTAATGCTTTCTAGGTTGTTTCTTTTTATTATTTATTCAGCAATTTGACTTAATGGTCAAGATTTACTGCATTCTGCTGGCATGTTTTTATTAGTTTCCAGCGGCTCTATTTTTATGGCCTGTAGAGGGCGATGTCGCACCATCAAATAAAATCCCTCACCGCCTCACACCTGGCCTGTCGATGTCTAAAGATGTAATCGACTCTGAACTCTGAACATATATTTTCACCACAACACAGGAAGAAACACAAAAGAAGAAGAAAGAGTACCACCTTTTTAAAGATTTTTTAAAATTATCTTATTAGGTTATTGAGATTTGCTTTCTGTAATGAAAGTATGCCTTTTTTTAAGTTTTTTTTATTTTATTTAGACAAATTCACTTTTTTGCTGTGTTGTTTTTGTGAAGCTCTGACGCAGCATCTTTTGATTTTGGTCTAAAAACTATAAAAGTTTCTACGTTTTTTTCTGATTTCTGTCCAAGAAATTCTAATGAAATTGCATATTTTCTTCTGACTTGACTAATTAAAACCCTTCCAGTGATTATTTTTTTCATGTGTGTGTCTGGATATCTAATCCTAAATTGTTCTGTATATTTTAACTGGACAATTTCCAGAAAACCAAACTAAAACAACAGATTACCACCTCAATATCCAGTACTTTAATGTGTTTATTCTTTTTACCTCTTACCAAAAAAATGTGCCTGCTCTTACGTTTTGCATGTTTTTAAAATAAAACTTTTAAGTGTCAATCTTATTGGGTGAAGGATGTCTCCTACAGGAACAGTTTGCATCGTTGTGGTGAAATCATCGAGTTTGTGGGAGTGAAAAAAAGAAAGATCAGTTTTGGAAACATGTTTGATGTCGACTTTTTCTTTTTTAATTGACTCTTATTCATCTCATTTATATCTTTGAGTGTATCTTAGGGATGTCACATTTAAAATCTCTGTTATCTTTAACGTAGAAATGAAATTTTAACATTGGAAATAGACATTTACCTTGTCTTCATGATGCTGCTGTACATTTTGGGGAAAAGTTTTCCCATAAAAATCATCATAAACACAGAAGAAGCTCATTTTGCCTCACGATCCTGCAGCAGGTAGAACTTTTAGCATCAGTGTGGAGAAGTTTTAAATTCCTCGTCAGGAAAATTACTTCAGTTCTCTTCAGGTTTCAGGCTTGAGATTTGTTCCTGCTATTTTAAACCTCCAACGCAGTCGAGGCCTTTGCCTCCACTGGACTCTTTTCTTGTTCAGCAATTGCAGATTGGCTCCTTTGTTTTGCATCATGGACATCACAAATACTCCAATCTGGGCCAGAGCAGATTGGCCCTGATAATCACTCCTCCACCTCCATGCTTCAAAGTTGATAATGAAGAGTTTGTGCAGACGTGCTTTGCTTGGTTTCACCAATTATGAAGCTTTTTGATGGTCAAACAGCTCTTAGTGTCATCTGTTAAAAGAGCTTTGCTTTACAAGTTTTGTGGCCTTTTTGGAGAGATTTTTAGTAGCGTAGGCTGTGTTTTTGAGAAATTAGACATTTTCCTATGCAAACCAAAACAATGGATACTTGTTTTGGTTAGCATTTTCTAAACACATCTTGTATCATTTGACATGCTGTTGTAGACCTGAAGTGTTTTAGATGTTAGTTTATATATTTTTTTTACCATTCCTCTGAACCAGGGGTCTGCAACCTGCAACTCTGGAGCCTCAAGAGGCTCTTTAAACCTTACACTTAATAACTTTGGCTAAAACTGATAAAGAATCAACTAATATATATATAATTAAAAAATAAATTATATATATATATAATTTTTTTTTCATGGAATAAATATATTGAATATCAACAGCATGCAATGCAATAAAATACCTGCAATGTTTCTGTAGATCTAACTTTGCAGGTTGGAAACATTGCATCATTTTCCACACCCAATATAATAAAAAAATCATTCTTTTCTTTCTTATTTTCTTAAAATAAAAGTAAAATTGTGGTTCTTTTAATAATTGCAACAAATTTGCAACAGTAGATATTCATCAACAATTATGCGTTTTCTCCTTTCAAAATGTTACGTAACATTTGCGGCTGTGAAAGAGCCGAAGGACAGAAAGGGCTCTTTGGACTGTAAAGCTTGCAGGTTTCTGCTCTGAACTCTCCACAACGTCGCTTTATGCTAAACCTGCTGAGACGTTCGCTGCTCTGCTGTGAACACCAGCAACGGTGCTAGAAGATATTAGTTTTTTTTCCCCCTCTTTCAAAGTGTTTTTGATCTAGTTTCTTGTTCAAATATAAGTACACTTAAAATAAGGCAGAACTAACTTACAAGTAACTTTTTAGCAAGATACAGGAGCTTATTTTAAGTTTTTTAAAAATCCCTTAAAATTGGTTAAAAAAAAAAGGTACTTGTTCCACTTATAACATGGGAAAAAGATCTTGTTATAAGTGAAATAATTTGCCAGTGGAACTAGTACTTAAACCAATTTTGAAGAATTGTTTGCTTAAAGAAGAAGCTCTTATATCTTGCTAAAAAAAAAAAAAAAAAAAACTACCCAAAAGTTAGTTTTGTCTTTATTTCAAGTGTACTAAGATATTTGCAATGGAAACTGGACCAAAAATACTTCATAAAGTTTTATTTTTGCTGTTAACTGACCATAAAATGCTCACTTTTCCAAGGATTTTGCTGATGTTTGTCCCACCTATCAGCAGCGTCTGGCTGCTATTTTGCTTTTCAACCAACAAAAACAGAACCGGTAGTGGCAGCATCATGCAGTTGCTTTTTCCTTTCAATTCCGAGTTTTTAAACCATGTAGCCGTTTCTAGTGTGACATAAAAAGCTCCTGGCTCGGTCTAACTTTAGTGGGGAAAAGGAGACCGACTCCCCACTAAAAGGGAAACGGCTCAGTCTGTTGTTTTTGCTTGTGTTTACTCAAATATCCTCCATTAGTCAGCTTTAACGCTAAGCTACTTTGCGTTGCTAAGCTGTCATCGACAAGTGATTGCCGTTGTTTAACCAAACCAAAGCAACCGTGGCATCTTATCAGCTATCTTTAAAGAGGCTGCAGAGAGCATCGGCTCTGAGCGACCAGTGACAGACAGATGAGTGAGAAGAAAGAGGAAGAACTGCACCTTTTTAAAAGTGGTGAGAAGCACGCTGCGTAGAGAGGCAGTGAGAGTTAAACCGGCTCGCTGTGTGGAGAGGCAGGTGCGTCTGTCGCTGTGCGTGCTGAGTTTGTTTTTGTAAGTGAGCGTTTGTGTGTGAGCGAGGGCGCCTTCGGGGCAGACGCATGTTTTGTAGCATGTGGGCGAAAGTCTCAGTGGAGAGATGAGGACCCTTTTTTTTTTTGTTTGTTTGTTTGTGTTGACATATGAGCGTGTGTGTGTGTGTGTGTGTGTGTGTCTATATGAGATGAGCAGGGCAAGACACCTTGATGACATTAGCGACCACCATCACGCCAGCAGCACCTGACGGATTGCGTGTGCGCTTCCTCGCCACGGCAACCTTCTTACCACCAACACCCTCCCCCTCATCCTCTGCTGCTAGGCAGGGCATAGATGGCTAATGCACTCTACCTCACCACTGGGGGCCCAGAAGGGTAGGGGGAGGCTGGGGCAGGCACATATATATAGACACACACACACACATACACACGTGTGTGAATCCGTCTTGCTTTGATGGTGGAGTCACTCGCTGTAGCACTCGGGAGTATCACGCACATCTAAATAGTTTGTGGAGATGCAACAGTCAGCCCCTCGTCTTTATCTTCATGCCTATGCGTCGCTCGCACTTCCCCCTTCACCAAACTCAAAAGGTGCACATGCAAACAAGCGCTAACCTTTGTGTGATACTGCCCAGAGGGTAACCATGGCAGTAACAAAGACATCCTCCGACACCCTGGTCTAACTGTAAGAGTCAGTAGGGCTGCGCATGCTAAAGAAGCGTCAGCTTAAAGTGTTGCAAATATTGAAAGTTGGAGCAGCATCAAGTGTGCGTTTGGTAAAACTGTGAGAGGATCACTAAAACTGATGAGGAACTGTTTGTTATAAACGGTTCTTCATAAGTATAGTTTATATTCAATGCATTGATCCAGTGAATACAGTTGTAATGCAATGCAATCAATAAGAAAAGTCTCTAGATGAGTTTCATCTTTTCAGTTTCAGTTTCATAATACACATTTTTCTCTTTGGATTTGAACTTTCATTAGAGCTAAAAAAAAATCTCCGCAGGTTTTTCTGACTGTTGTTGCCAAACTCTGTTAGCATCACAGAAATATTACCAGTTTTATTGGAAAAAAAATAGGAATAATAACCCCGTTTTGTACCCTGCCTTTTCTATTTTGGCACATCCTGATTTCATTAGAGTCACGCAAACAGTTCTGCACCTACACACTTAATCCACTGTGTATTAGCATATTTAGCTAACGAGATAATAATCTGAAAACTGCTAAATTCTCACGCTGAATTAAACTGAAATGTTTAGGACAAAGGACCTCTGAGTGACCTCCTGCTGCTAGATGTTATTTAATGAAGACTCAAAACGGCATTCCCTTACTGCAGACTGAAAAGAAAATTCATCTAAATCATCGGTGGTCCAACTGGAAACAAACCTCTCTGCTGAAGGGAGGCGTGACCGGTGCAACTCGCCCCATGTCAGGCGGCTTGTTTTAGTAGCTTAAAATAAAGTGCATTAAAGTATCAACCTTCCCGACCTCTCGGATCTTCTGGTTCTAGTCGACTCTGCATCACCAGCACCAGAACCAAACATGGAGAAGCAGAGTTCAGTTTCTATCCTCCACTAATCTGGAAGAAGCTTCCAGAAAACTGTGAAGATGCTGTTCCCTTAAATCGAGGCTAAAAACTCACATGTTTATTTTGAATCTTGGTATAAAATAACTAAAACCTTGATTAATATATTTGATCTATATTTGCTTTATCATATTGGCAAAATATAATGTTTGTTTCTGGTTTTAAATGGTCACTGTTCTGGAGTGGTTTCCAAACATTTTCTGGGTCCCCCCTATGGATTAAAAATATCTGTCTGATTGAACGACGTGTGTGTGCGTACGTGCGTGCGTGTGTGGTGGAGGATTCTTAGATATTCCCTTTCTATAACTTTTTTAGGGGAAAAAATGAATGTACGTAGCTGGACATAGACAAGAACATCGGTAGCCTACAGGCTACTTGTTAAACTTAAGCTGCTGTATTGATATTAGCTAGTCATCTTTGAGCTAACATTACCTGCATCCAACAGCTTTACTCAACCCAGTCAGTTAGTTTGGAGGGAAAAACTGTGAAAAGTTCTTTGCGTTTTGCTGGTTTGCTGCCGTGATTCTAACACAAACCTACGTAGCTCCGCACAGCAGCAGCAGGTCTCCTTCACAGGTGGAAACCCAGCGCTCATGTTGTGTTTAAAGGCGGCTCGGAAAAACAGGTTACCACAGGTTAACAGCGGATTAGACAGTTTTAACTGCTGATAAAAGTGACAGAGGACACAAATATGGGAAGTGTGGAAGCCTCTACTGTATCAAATTGACAGAGGAATAACAGAGAGTTGGCCATTCTAAGGTAAAAACCCTTAGTGTTTGGTTTTTTTTTCAGCCAGACAGCTTCCCGCACCCCCCGCCCCCGCAATGGTACGGGGCACCCCCTAGGGGGCGCGCCCCACAGTTTGGGAACCTCTGCTGTACTGTGTCTTTTTGGTGTAGAGCACTTTGAACCTCGTTGTTGCTGAAATGTCCTGTGCAAATAAACTTGACTGTTTTTTTTTTTTTTTTTTTGCCATCATTGAGGTTCTCAGAGTCACATAATGTCCTTTCTGGACCAGTTTCCCATCTCATGCTTGTCCTTTCCTCCCTCTGTTAGGTGCACAATGAATTTGTGAGGAACATCGAGAACACTTCGGAGGAGAGTTTAATACAAAAACTGTCTGAGAGCAAAGGAACAGGCAAGGAGAGGCCAGGTAAGGCAGGACGCTGTTTGTCAAGACACTGAAAGCAGGATGACCACATATCCTTAAAAAGTCTTAAATTCATGTATCTGAAATTAAGGCCTTAAAATGTCTTAAATTCATTTTAAAAAATGTAAGTTGGCCTTAAACACATTATTGACTGGTCTTAAACGTTGTTGTGACAGGATAATTTAATTTTGGATAGTCTATGTTTTTTGCTTGTTGTATTTTTTCTTGCAGGTTTTTTCTGTCAGGCGCAATTTTTGAGTTGCACGGAAACGTCTTCACTTCCTTTTTTCGACTTCGTACGTGTTGAGGCTATCGCTAACTAGCTGCTAATATACTTTTGCTAGGTATCTGGTTAGCTTCTTGGCATCCATCGTTGAGTTAAGTGCAAATGTATTCTTGGTTGGCTCTTTTTTATTTGGTTTGTTTTGTACATTTCCGTCGTGGCGCACGTTTCCGATTTCATTCACTAATCGTCTCAACAAAAAGTCTTGAATTTGAGTTGGTGGAACCTGTGGAAACCCTGGAGCGTCGATACGGTTCTGAGCAGGGCTGATCCTTTCCCTGATGGGAGGGGTAGCATGGAGAGGGGCAATTAGACGTTAGAGCAGGCCATCAGAGGCAATCATAGTAATCTGCTGTAAAGGAAGGCCGGCTCGGCATTCCAGTAAGCATGTGACACGCTCGCAGATTAAGCAGGCATAACCAACTTTTCTGGGAGGTCAGAGCTCGACAATGACTCTTGTGTAAACTTTGCCGTGCCACAATAATCAAGGGAATACTTGTCAGTTTTCTTTGGCATTGCACAGTCACTTCCCACTCCGTCTCACACACACACAGAAATCCGACTGAATCCACTCGGTAACCGTAAACTATTTCACCTCTACTGAGGCCTATTCTTTGCCGTTTGGCGTCTCTGAACTGGTGCCCCGTTCTGGACATAACCTCACCAGTCCCTCTTCCTCGGGCTCCTGTTACGTCAGGTCACAAGCACAGAGGCCTCACCTATGCCGTGGTTGTGTGTACACAAACGGTGACCCTCGTGTCCAAACACTTGGTCCAACAAGCGGCGGGGCCCTCATTTGTTTGGACAGCGGATTTAATTGAGGTTGAAAAAATCGGTCTGGAAATTCCTCCCCGTATCAAGCTGTTCATTAGGGATTGCACAGCAGCTCCGGTTCTGTCAGGAGAAATAAACCACCCTGTCCGATGATGAAATAGCTGAACGGATGGCCGGTCCGGGGCCTTTTCAAAGAAAGAAAGAGAGAGAGAGAGAGAAAGAGGGGTTGAATAAACTTTCTATTGCAGAAACAATCCTAAAGTGACACGCTGCGAGGCGGAGTGGAGGGGGGCACTTTAGGGGGTCGGACTGTTCAACGATATCCAGCTGAGCTGTCAACTGGCAGTGGGCCAGACACGCAAACTCGTCCCCGCCCCGCCCTTCTCTCCTGCTCCCTGTGCCATGTGAAGCATATGCAATTTAAAAAACCATCTTCCACTCATGCGTGACTTGCCTGCCGCCCTCGCAGAGCAGCAAGAAAAGGAGCCATCTTCCCCTGTATAAACACTGTTGCCTGTCTGTTTGGAGAAGCTTAAACAGTTCCTAATGTCTGTCCAGGTTTGGGTAATATCCACGTGTGGCTGTTTGGACTTCGCTTGCAGCGCGTGTGTGCGTGCGTAAATATAGTCGGATGGAAAAAGGAGTCGCTTCTCCACCCGGTTCTGACTTCTATTTTCCAGTCATTCTCGCGCCTCTGGTATCCCATTTGGTATCTTTGTGAAGACACGCGATGTCATACGTTAAAGAGACAACCAAAAAACATTCCTTTTTTTTATCCTTTTTATAGCCAAAGAGTGCTTTTGGGTGCATAATCTGATCCACATTTCAGGCGGAAGGGAAAACCAAGAGTCTGGCCGTTCATGAAAAATTGCCAAAACGAACATTGTTGTTGTTTTTTATACTTTTTGTCTTCTGTGTGGACAAAGATGGCGGTGGCAGCGTCATTCTGTGATGGTATGTGGAAGAAAGTCTGGTCAGACGAGATCAAGGTTAACTGTTTTAGTCTGACATCCAAAACACGGCTGTTGAATGCTTAAGATTGCCGATGACATCACATCCCCACAGTGGAAAACGCGGTGGTAGTGGCATTATGCTGTGGGCATTGGGTCTGTCATGAAAATAAATTTGGTAGTCAAAGAAAATTGTCTTAGTAATTATTGCAATTATCGATAATACTGTTGTTGTGAGACTATTTTCAAGTAACATATTGACAATGGCACGAGAGAGCAACGGGAAGATATTTAAAAACATCCAAAAATAATAAGACAGAGATGCTGCACAGAGCTAGTTCCGACTTTCTGGGGCGGACGTTCATGTTCCAGCAGGATTCCCAGCTACCAGATCAGAATATTTAAATAGATTCTCCAGTCGTTCTCTCTAAACCCACTAACGCCAAAAGGCCTCATAAAAGTTAAAGAAACAACCTTATTTTTCTGGATAATTACAGCAAAGTTGTTGAATGATTCTTCAAACCGTTGTGGCGGTCGGTACCCCGCCGCCGCCACCGTGCATTTTGCCAGGGCTGAAGTGGGCCTGACATTGCACGGCAGCGTAGATCGGTCATCGGTGTACTTTATCCACTTCACTTGGCGTGATGCGGGCCTCTCGTGACTCGCTGCCTCCCTGCGCTTCACTCAGCCCCGCGCGCGCCAGACAATGCGTCAATCCCGCTCGCTACCAGCATCCTCCGGGGAGGGCACATGGGCCCTCTGCCGCCGTGTACGTTTTGAGTTAAAATATCATTAGCTTTGTTGTTTTCAGGTCAAGGCATGTTAGTGTATCAGAAAAACCGCCAGAGGGGTCCTGCCCCGTCTTCCTCTCTTTCTTCTTCTCTCCGTCTCTCTCTCTCTCTTTCTCCCTCTCCCTGTGTCACCCCCTCCTGCTCATCATGCTGTTTCTCCTCTCAGGAGTTGTAAAGCGTGCAGCGTATTTGTGTCTGTCTGGCTCGGTCGCAGACGAACCGTCCTCTGGATTTTGCCCGATTGTCGCGTATCCGCATCGCCTGTCCTCCTGCCTCCAGTTTTTCCTGTTTGTGAAAACTGTGAGCCTCTGTGAGCCTGAGCCCTTTGAAAAGCCTCGGTAAATCTGTCTGGAGTGACAGATGAAGCGTGACGATGGAGGGGCAGCACCTCGGGGGCGAACGTGCATTATTGATGAGCAATAAGTCAAGTGTGAATCGAGTTGTTTTTGGCAGTTTTCTCACCAGCTGATTGATGTATCCAAGTAAGCAAAAGAGTGTTTTTTTTTTTTTTGTTTGTTTTGCAAAATTAAATCCATGGCTGGTTATGCGACATCATAGCTATTAGCTAGAAGAGATTTTAAGACATGTCCGCGTGCTGCTGGTTATACAGTACTAAAGCATTCATACAGTCATACTCCTAGAAACTGTTTACATTTTTTCTCATATTACGAGAACAAACTAGTGTATTTTATTGGGATTTTATATTGTGTTTCGAAAAACACAAAGGTCTGTGTAATTGTGAACGGAAAGGCAAATGATACACCGTGTTGTGTTTCTTTTTTTTTTTTTCAAATAGTTTTCTGCTTCTTACAAATAAAAAAATTTAAAAAATGAAATGTGCAAAAAGTTTTCATCCCTCCTGTGACAAGGTCTCTGCACATCCTTCATAAATTTTAAATTCATGTATCTTAAAATAAGGTATTAAGATGTCTTATATTCAGGACATACAGGACTTGTGTTTTGTCATATTTAATCTAGCATATTCATGTATGTAGTTTTTTTTTTTTTTGTATGTTTTGGACTTTTCTGTCAGGAAATATCTGAGCCGCACCCAGACGTCTTCATTGTGTTTTCTGACTCCAGGTTGTTGGGGCTAGCACTAACTAGCTGATGGTATATTAGCAGCTACATTACTAGTTAGTAGCAGATGAAACACCCTTTGCTAGTTGGCTAGCTAGCTAGAAAAAAGCTAGCTAGCCATGTTATCAGCTAATTACCAGTAATGCTAGCTGTTTTTAGCATGTGTAAGTACAAATTTATTGCCAGTTGGCTGGGCGACATTCAGTTTTGCCACTATCTGCCTTCCAACCTATATTAGCTTAGGTGCATTCTGTATAAAATAAAAACTTAAGTTTGGCTCTATGGCGGTTTAGAGAGCACAAAGCTGTTGTCAAGAGCCAAACAGGCCCACAGGTTTTCTAATGCTTGATGGTAATACAACAGGATCCCCCAACCATATTTACAGATTTGGTTGGTCTTGTATTTCATTCAAGGTGGCATTGCTAAGATCTAACAAAGTTTTAAATTTGACTTGCAGTTTTCAGGTTTTTCAGATTTAGATTCAAACTTTTTACCCACTTATTTGGCAAAACAGTACAACTTTAGTCAGGTTGAATGGAGAGAGTCTATAAACGTCCATTTACAAGTTTTGTCTCCAGTTTTCAATTAGTTTTAGGTTTAGGACTTTGACTAGGCCATTCTAGAATATCAAGTTGTAAGTTAGACTGTTCCATGTTAGACCTGGCTGTATTTCTGAGATTGTTGTTTTGCTAGAAGATGAACATCCGTCCCAGTCTCCAAGTCTTTTGCAGCCAGTCATCAGCCTGTCAAATCAAATTTGCCTATCAAAAGTTTTCCATGTATTTGTATTCAGCCCTCTTTACTCTGATACCCCTAAATAAAATCCGGTGAATTCAGTTTCATTTAAATGTCAATGGAGTGTATCTCATCCATTGTGAATGCAACTTGTTCCGCAAAGCAGCACATGGTTATTTATTTAGACTTTGGGGTTCTGCACAGGGCGCAGCTTAAGGTGAAAAAGGGCTTTCCATAAGCCACAGTAGCTGATTTATCCATGCAGCTTTGAACACTTTGTCTACATGTAATCTTGTGCCTGTATTTTTTATTTTTTTTGGTTTGTTTGTTTTTTGTCTCGTCGTAATAGTATTAAGCTTGTGTGTCCCAGCGCGGGGTACATTTAGTTCCCCGCTTAGCGTCTGTCTGCTGCGAATGCCGAAGCCGCTTCCTGCATTTCAGATTCATTTCTAATTGCGTGGACTTCCAGGTGGCGGCGGCGGGGGGTGGCTGGGTGGGCGGGCGAGGGAGGGAGGCTGTGTGTATCTCTCCGAGGAAGACTATATGGAGTTGTGTCGTGCATCGTGTCAACCGGAGGCACTGTCACGTCTCTGCGAGGGCCACCAGACGCACAGTTGACTCTTACTATTGACCCTGTCTGCCCTGTGGGATCAGCCCGGCTCTGTTTGTGTACACATCCTGCATGGCACGCCAGGCTCCATGTTGTGTGTCTGCGCTGTGTGTGTGTGCGTGTGTGTTTGTGTGATCATTGCGTGATGCACATTCATAGCAGCCACAGTTGTGGGCCATTGACCCTTCCTGTGCCAAATGAACCTAAATCATTTTGTTTTTTGTCTCATTAGGACCCATCGAATTTGAGGAATGCAACACGGCCATCGCAACAGAAGGTAGAGCTCCACCTGAACGTTTAACATGAAATATAGCAAGTTAATCGAAAACGGTTTCAGACGTGAGGTTTTTGTTTTGCTGTTAAGGTGCCAAACCCAGAAAGAGGAAAACGTTTGGCATTCCCGGCCGCAGGAAAGACAAGGACACGGACTCGACGTGAGTTTGGGCTTCAGTTCCCAGCACAGTTTGACCGGTTTTATTCCTTCTCTCTTTATGTCTTTTTTTTTTTTACATCAACTTTGCCGTGTTTTTGTCTTTCAGTGAATCGACAGAAGTCGACCCTGCTGTGAGTATAAAGTTTATTAAAACAGACATTAGCTGCATGCTTGATCTTCTTGAGTTTCCCTTGGATCTGTTTCATGTCGGCGCGGTCGGTTATTTTGATGTCAGGCTGCAGGAGGCGGAGCAGACCATTGTTCTTTTCCTCCTGCCATGTGTTACGCCGCACTTCCCAGCCTCTCTGCCCCTCCCTCCTCTGTCGCTTCCCTCCTGTTTGTTTTGTACATTTGCTCATTCATTCATCCATTTCTCTCTGTTTGTGCACGCAGAACACTGCCAACGGTGCTCCCCCAGGATATTATGGCTCCATAGACATCCAGAACGCTGTAAGCAAGCTAATGACCCCACACCTCTGCCGTCTCCGTTACGCAGCGTAAATCTATACGCCGATGACATTTTCAAGTACATTTCCAAAAATAGAAAATGACAACAAAATCATATCCCTGCGAATGTAAAACATAAAGTATTTAGACGCCATTTAGAAGTACTTAATATGGAAGTGATTAAAATTCTATTCTTAAGATTTTGATGCTTATTTTTTATTTTTAATTTTTTGTTGCTTCAGTTATTCTGTCTGTAGACGAATCCAGAACTACTCCTTCAGAAGTTTTAAATTGTCACATAAATACTCCTCTGTATTACTTAATTCAATGTTTTTTATGTGTATACATTTTTATTTCCTTATTTGCAATTGTAGGTTGTTTATAGAAAGTTAAGGTTTCATATTATCTTAACAGTTTTGAAGAAATCACGATCGAATGCTTAAAAATGATTCCTCGTTTGGAGACTTTGAAGAGGAAAAGCATATTGCTCAAAATTCTGATTTAAAAAAATGAATAATAATTTTAATGAAAATATTAGGTAAAATTTGGAATTGAAGACATTGTATAAATAATTCAAACTATTCCATCTTCAAGAATTTTCTATTTCTGATATTATTCTGGCAATAGTATATAAAGTTACAATTTTAATATAGTTTTGAAAGATTTTGACATTTTTATTTGTAGGGACTAATTAGAGAAAAAATGTAATAGTTTATATTTTAAAATATTTTACATGAGCAACACATTTAATTATAAAGAAGTTGGGGCTATATGTTTAACCCTTTACTTGACTGAAAAGTCTGTCTAAAGTAAAATGCAACAGTTTTATAGACATGGTCCAACTTTTCTACTTTAGTTTGTCACAAGAATATTCCAGACCTTTCAGGATGCATCAGTGTACAGAAATAAAGTTTTGTACAGAATAATAATTATTTAGAAACTTTCTTGTTTAGCTAAAGTTTCTAAATAATTATCCTCAATAATTATTATCTGGACATTACGCTTCTATGACTACTTTGTGAAATCAAATTGTCAAAAATGCTTAAAAATAGTTTTCAAAAGTTTGTTAAAATTTTGCACTAGCAGAAGAGAAGAAATTAGTTTTTGCTTTCAACTTTCAAGCTACGTTTTTGAGTGCAGAGTTTTAAACCAAAATGTTTAAAGTTTTAGGACATCAGAACAGCTCAGACAATCTATATATATATATATTTTATTTATTTATTTATTTTTTCTCTTCATTAGGATTTGAAATTTCTGGGATATTGAAAAAGTCCTCACTTTGGAAGAGTTTGTTGGTTCTTTGTTTAGTGCATAAATACAAAGTTTCTCAAATAAGACTATTTGCTTTAAAGCATTTAGCAAAAACCTAAATACATTTTCTGATTATTTATCCAGTGCATTATGATCTCTCCAGACATTCAACACTTATTATTTAATTATATAAAAGTTTTTTTTATTTATTTAAAGCCTTTGGTTCTTATTTTTTATTAATTAATTTTTCTTTTTATAGAATGTGCCTCAAGTTGACGCCGAAGGATTCTGCATCAGACCAGAAGTGAACGAAAACGATATCCTTTATTTTCACACTTCCTTCTGTCGTGCTTGTTTAGCGTTTTTTTTTTTCTTTTCCCATTTTCTTTAACTCTTCTCCTCACATCCCAAAGACAACTCCTTCTACTCGTCCAGCGACTCGGAGGACGAGGACGAGCCCAGGAAGTTCCACGTGCAGATCAAGCCCGTCCAGCCCAACAACGGCACGCATCAGAACCGGGCCAACATCGACGAGCTCAAAGCCTCCATCGGAAACATCATCCTGTCGCCCTCCACCTCGGTAGGGGTAACATTTCGCGCGAGCGTGCCGTCTGCACACCAACCTGTTGATCCCGCTGCTGCAGCAGAAGTTCACTCTGCCTGTGTGACACTAGAGGGCAACAGGGGAACACCTAAAATCAGAGCCAGAGCACGGGAACAGACCGAAGCGCTCAGTTTGTCTAATGCATTTTGTGTAGATTATATGCCATATATAATTCAGCCAACATCTTCCACTAAATCTCCTGTAAACTCTTGGTCCATGTTTTGTTTTTACTTTGACTCTTCATCGGCTTTGTTTTTATTTTCTTTTACTCCTGCGGACTCGGGTTCCGTTTCACTGCTGATGTCGTCGCCCCTCCGACCTCACGCTCGCAGAGCTTCACTCGGATCTGCTTTCACGGCCGTGGCGGACCCCCTCGTCCGGCTCCTCGTCCTCTCTCCCTTCACTTGGCCTGCGAATGACTCTCTAACGAAAGTAGCTGCAGTCGTTAAAGTTTAAAGCCACTACCGCTTTGTGTGCAAACACCGCATCCTCTGTGTTTGTTTGCCTGCATATGTGTGTGTTGTTGTTGTTGTTGTTGTGTTAGAGTGGGCAAGTCTTGTGAAGGAGCCCTGGTGTGTTTTACTAGCGGTGCTCACCGACTGATCGCTTAAATGAAAGTTATGGCATCTTCATCTGCTCTTCAGCCTCTTTCCCTCCTCGCCGTTTGAAGTTTCTTCAGCGTCTCTTTGTTTGCTTTCTGTCTACACCCACTTGCTTGCGACAGGACTCTGCTGCGGTTTTGCAAAAACTTAACGGGGATCAGTTTTTTCTCCTAGAGATGCCGAGACCATCCCAAGTTTTTTTTTTTTTTTTTTTTTTGGGGCTTTGTTTTTTATATTTTTTTTTTTTTTTTTCAACGGGGTTTATTTTTTTTACAAAAAAAA